GGGGGGGTGCGGGGGGTTGGTCCGAGAGCAGGCCCAGCCAGCTAGGAGCCCTGCCCCTCTGCACAGGGTTTCTTTACCTCCCTGGGAGTTGCCCCATAGACCCCAGAGCCCCTGCCCTGTTGCCCCTGTGGAGAGAGCTCCTACCTTCTCAGGAAAATCATTTCAGTGGACCTCAGATGGAGGCAAAAACCAGGCAGTGGGGTAACAGAGAAACGTGCAGCAAGCTCAGTGAGGGGGTGGTGTGGTGTGTGGAGACCACCTGTTCTCGGGAGGACCCCGATGCAGACCCTTGAGTGAACGGGGCCATATGGCCTGCCCAGACTGGCCTCTTTCTCCCCAAAAAGCTGCGGGCGGCCAGCCAGGCCTTCTCACGCCGCACGCAGTGGCATGAATGTTACGGTGGTTGCAGGAGAGCCTAGAGCATCCATGCCAGATGTTTTGGCAGAAGGACCCTTTGTCCAGATAAACACATAAGTGGATCCTAATTCGGACTGCAGCTAGTTGTGAGGCCACCCTGGTGGATAAGAGATGTGGACTCTGCCAGGGCCGCTTTCCTCCCTAGGCCACGTCTGCAGCAACCCTGTGGTTTGGGGGAAAAGTCTGAAACACACCAGCCTAGACTACTGGAGGCATGTGGGGAACTTGGGGGCCAGCCTTGGGCTGCAGCCAGGGTCTCCCCTCAGCCCCTTAGCACTGGGCTGGGCCTGCCAGACTTAGGGAATGACTCTGGCGGCCATGTTTTTCAGATAATTGAAAGCTTACCTCTTTTAAGCACCTTTAAGTTTTATTTATTCTATGTGTTTTTTTTATTGTAGCAAAATATACATAATATAAAATTTACCATTTAGCCACTTTTAAGTGTGCAATTCAGTGGCATTAATTATATTCACAGCGTTGTGTAAACATCACCACCATCTGTTTTCAGATCTTTTTCATCATCCTAGAAACTCTATCCGTTAAGCAGTAGTCCCCATTTAGCATCTTTTTATTTTATCTGAACCATTTGAAATTTAAAATTTTATCTTTTTAATGATGACTGAGGAGCATTACCACTGTTCTAGGACTCTTCCAAAGGGCAAGCCAGTGGCCCATTTTCCTTTGTATTATACCTGAGGGACTGTGCCCCCGGGACAGGCTGAGGTTCAAACACACGCCCACCTCACTTTCAGGACCTCCAGGGACGTGTGCTGGGTTTAGGCCACTCACACAACCCAATCATTTATATTTTGCCCAGTGCCCTTCAGCAGGCAGACGTGAAGAAGTGTTCTGGCATTCTGGGGCTTTCAGCCCAGGGTCATTTTCCTGGCTGGCGAGGGCAGCCATCTGATGGATGTCAAGGCTGAGTTTAATCAGGCAGGGCAGTGATTTGTGGGGCAAGACACTGGTGCCCTTCTCCTTTGAATAGATTTTAGGTTCACTACCCAGCTGCCAATTTGGACACCTAGTGCTGTTAAATGCTTCTGTTAGCCAACATTTCAGCACAGCCGAAGAAATACTCATCACCAATTAAACTCATTACACTTGGGTATTCAATTCCTGCCAATATATCATTTAAATCTCCACTTTTGTTTTCAAATTATTACTCTTACTAAAATGATTTCTCATAACCAAGCACCTGGAAAGACAATATGGACTTGTTTGGCAAGGAGGAAAACTGGCCCCTTAAAGGCACTTTCCGAGATCCTCCACCCTTGTGATGGCCACCACAATGGCCACTGAGGCTATGGAGTGGAGCAGAGCTCTTTGGCCCTAGAACTAAAGGCTGCTAGATTAGAAGTGAGTTTTTTTCTTTATTTCTTGGAAGATATTAAGGATTTAAAAATTACAATATTTGAATATTCTTATACGAATTCAAATAACATAGATAAAGTGAAGGTCCCCTTTTACCTCTCCATCCAGTCCTACTGTCGTCCATCTCACCCGCAGGGTGACCACCGTCTTTGGGTTGGTGTGAATCTTCCTAGATCATATGTACATGTGTACATAGAGACATATAGTTTTATTTTTCATAAATTTGATTAGAGGATTCATATCATTCTTCAACTTGGCTTTTGTTTTCTCTTAAAATGTTTTGGGAATCTTTTCACATGACATATATAGTTCTTTTCCATTCTTTTTAATTGCTGCATAGTATTCCATATTATAAAGAGAGAGATGATTTTTTTTAAACAATTATTTATGGGTAATTAGGTTGTTTTCCATTGTTTGCTAATTACAAATAGCACTTAAGTGAATCTTCTTCAACATTCCTCTTAGCTCTCATATGTAAGTTTTTCTTAGGTAAACACCTAGAGTGAAATTGCTGGCTGGAAGGGGAGGAAGGTTCTACACATTTATAATTTTAATAAGCGCTGTCAAATTGTCCTCCAGAACATGTGAACCAGTTCATGCCCCCAGGAAACCATGTGTGTACTCGTTCTCCTATGTAGTTTCTATGCGTACAGTGAAGGCGGATGTTATCGATCTTTTCCATTTTTGCTGTAATGGGTAAAAAGATGCTACGCCCTTATGTTGCTTTTTGCTGATGACTAGTGAGGTTGAACTTCTTTTCTTCTTATCTGCAGGAGTCCTTTATATATTCTAGATATTAATCATTCATCTATTATATGTCTGAGTATTTTTTTCCTAGATCTGTGCTGTCCAGTATGTGGCTACTGGCCACATATGACTAATTTTGAATTTAGATTTAAATGAACTTAAATAAAATTTAAAGATTTCATTTCTCAGTCACACTAGTCATATTTCAAGTGCTCAGTAACCACATGTGGCTAGAGGCTACCGCATCAGAGAGCTCAGATGTAAAACATCTCCACTATTGCAGAAAGTTCTAATGGAATATGCTGCCCTAAACTGTCATGTCTATTTGACTTATGTTTACAGTGTCTGTTGTTATACAGATGTTTTAAATTTAGTTTTTATGTTTTGTATCCTGTTTAAGAAAGCTTTTAATTACCTCTAATTGTCCTAATTCTTCTAATACTTCTAATACTTGTTTTTTCTTTTTTTAAACCAGCACCTAAATTCATCTGGAACTGATTCTTATAAACAGTATGCACTAGGAATCTAACTTAAATATTTTTCCCTAAAAGACAGGGAGTTCTAAATCTTTTTCCCTAAAAGACAGGGAGTTCTACTGATGCAAATAGGCCAGCCTTTTATCATTGACTTGGAAAGTCATTTTGTATCATATATCATCTGTTTTCTTCCATTGATCTGTTTGTCTATCATGTGTATTCTACACCATTCTAATGATTGTATTTAGGTTTTTGGTTTTTTTTGGTGGACGGGAATCTGACTTACAGCCTCACCTTACCAGTTTCACCATGGGGCAGCTACACCAATGACAACTGCATTATTCAATGGTTTTTTGTTTTTTCTTTAATGAACTTTATTTTTTTTATTTTTTTATTTTTTCTTTTTTTTGTCTTTTTTCCGTGTCCGGCAACGGATCGCAACCCTCAGTGTTGCCCCCGTACCGGACCGGGGACCGGCAACGGGATCACAAGCCTCGGTGTTGCTCCCGCGCCTCGCTCAGCCAGTGAGCGGGAGCCGGTCTGTGTGTGGGATCCGAACCCTCGGGCGGGAGCCCCGCCGCGCTTCCCAAGCGGCGCACTATCCAGTGTGCCACCGGGCCGGCCCTGAACTTTATTTTTTAAGGCAGTTTTAGGTTTATAGAAAAATTGCAAAGAAGGTAGAGTTTCCCTGTACCCCACCCCCAGTTTCTCCTACTATTAACATTTTGCATCAGTGTGGTACATTTGTTAGAATTGATGAACCAATATTGATACATGATTAACTAAAGTCATAGTTTACACTAGAACTCACTCTTGGTGTTGTAAATTCTGTGGATTTTGACAAAAGCATAATGTCTTGTATCCACCATGACAGCAGTGGTGTTTTGTAACTTGGTAGCACATTCCTTTTTATCACCAAATACTATTCCATTTTATGGATGCACCATAGCTTGTTCATCCACTCACCTACTGAAGGACACCTTGGTGGCTTCCAAGTTTTGGCAGTTATGAATAAAGCTATAAACATTTGTGTGAAGGTTTTTGTGTAAACATAAGTTTTTACTCTTAGCTTTGTAAGAAACTGCCAAACAGTCTTCCAGAATGGCTGTACTATTTTGCATCCCACCAGCAATAAATGAGAGTTCCTGTTGCTCCACATCCTTGTCAACATTTGATGTTGTCAGTTAGGATTTTAGCCATTTTAATATGTTTGTAGTGGTAGCATTTTAACTTTTTTTTTTTTCCTTTTTTGTCTTTTTTTTTTACTGACCGGTAACAGGATCGCAACCCTCGGTGTTGCACCCGCACCCCGCTCAACCAGTGAGTGGGAACCGGTCTCCACATGGGATCCGAACCCTCGGCGGGAGCGCTGCCGCACTCCCAAGCGGTGCACTCTCCAGTGCGCCAACGGGCCGGCGCATTTTAACTTTTAATGTTGTAAAAACCCAATTCTTCCTTGTTCATTTTTAGGATTTTTTTTTATTTTGGCAATTATGTACATCATAAATTTTATAATTTACTTAAGTAGGATTACACTGAATTTAAACATTATTTTAGAGTGAAGAACTTCCTGCCTTCTCATCTGGAAATATGATGTATCTGTCTTTTTATTGAGGTTTTCTTTATCCTTTTAGTAAAGTTAAATAGTTTTCTTTATTTTTAAATTTTATTTTTTAATAATCATGCCTTGGATAAACGTCATTGGCTATGATACTGCCACTGTGCGAAGCTTAATACTTTTCTTTATATAAATTTTCCATGTTTATTAGGTATATTCTGTTATTTTATAGCTTTTATTGCCATTTTAAAAAATTAATTTTTGCATGTTTTTGTACCTGTCAATTTTGCATATAACTCATTTCTGTTTATCGATAGATTATCTTACACATTCCAGGTTAATAATCATAAGCAAATGAGCTTTCTCTTCCTTTCCCATATTTGTATATTGCTGTCTTTCCCCCCCCATGCTTTGTTTAGTTCCTCAAGCACGAAGTTGAATAGTGTCAGTGACAGTGAGCATCCTCCTTTTGTTCCTAGCTCTAATGGGCTTCTAATCTTTTGCCTTTGGTTCTAATATTTGCTGTCATTTCTAGTATACATCCTTTGTCAATTTAAGGATATTTCCTTGTATTATATAGTTTGCTAAGACCTACCTTCCTTCCTTCCTTCCTACTCCCTCCCCCCCTCCAGAAATGCTGTTGAATTTTATCATGTGACTTTTAAAAATCTGTTGAGATGGTATGAGGTTTTTACTTTTAATAAGGTAATATCATGAATTATATCAAGCCATCTTTGCTTTCCTGGGGAAATCCCAGCGAGACCATGATAAGTTATTATTTTAATACCACTGAACTTTCTTTGCTGATGTTTGTGCCTGTGTTCAAAGAACAATAAACCTATTATTCCCTGCTTACCTCCATTCTTATTTTGTTTTTATGCTGGAGTTATGCAAGCCTTGCAGGCTTCTTCCCTCCCTCCCCCTCTCTCTTCCCATTCGCTGTCACAGTTTAGGTAAGTTGGGAACGATCCTTCCCTTGAAGTGTTAGTAGGACCTGCTTATGTTAGTGTGGTTATGTGGCCTGTTACCCATTTCCGAGGTGGAACTTTGGCTTTTCAGTCTCTTCTAATTGTTTAAATGATCGGCTTTTGTACCTACTTTTGAGTCAGTTTTAATTTATATTTTCTCACAAAAGCACCTATTTTATACCATTTAAAAAATTTATTGATATAAAGTCTCTAATGTAGGATTTTTAAAATCCTTTTTGTATCTATATGTTCCGTTTATCTATAATGTCTGTTTTTACCTTTATTACCTTCCTTCTACTTCCTTTAGGTTTATTTTGTTGTCCGTAATGCTGACATCTGTTGTCAAGAGATTCTCTCTCTTCTTTGTTCACAACTGTTTCATTCCACCTACTTTTATTTAATGTAAACTTTTTATTGAAATATAACACACATACAGAATGGTGCACAGATCACAAGCTCTATAAATTTATGTAAAGTGAACATGTTCCTGTGACCAGCACCCACATCAAGAGGGAACATTGCCATGAGGGAACCTCAGAGCCCATGCCTCCTGCCAACCACCACACCCACTATAATGGGGCCATTGTTGTGACTTCTAACTCATGGCTTAGTCTTGCCAGCTTTTGATCTTCATATAATGGAATCGTATCGTTTGTATTCTTTAGTGTCTATAGCAGATGTTTTCCATTACAGCTTCTTACACCCATGAGCTAGGAAAGCCTCTGTAGACTTGTGCTCAGGGTCAGGTGTGGGTTGGGAGCAGTGGGGGGGGGGGACACTCGTGAATAAACTGGATTAGGATTAATGCAAAGGCAAGGCATCACCTATTTGAGTGCTGAGGCCTTTCTACTACTTTCTTGTTCTTGGTTTTGTGGAGGAAAAGTGAGGCTGCCAAGCAGCTGAGATCCCAGCAGGTGAGGTGTTCATGACCACAGCTGCTGCTCTGAAGCAGGGGCCCAGCCAGGGGAGGGACTCGGCACACCCTCGCTTAGAAAGCTTCCAGCACATCCACCCTTTTAGAAAGAAAACCGTCTGCTTTGAAATGTGGCCGTTTTCTCTTTGCTCCCTGGGTCAGGAGATTTCACTGGACCGGTTTCTTTAACCTGCCCTGCATCTCTTGGGCCTTAGGGTCGAGAAGGCAGCATAGCCCATGCGCGGGGAATCCCAGGTACATGGCACCCCAGCGATTCACTTGCCTTTCTTGTATTTTTTCCTTCTTTTCTCCACACCTCAGCCTGCCGTATTGCCCTTCTTGCCTCCCCCCTACTTTCCTTTCTTTCTCGGTTTTCTTCCGTCGGTTTTCAAATCTTTCCCTTCTGCGTTCTTTCCTCCTGCCTGATTTCAGCTCTCCTCTGCTGTCCCCACACTCCTTCCTTCCGGTCTCTCCCGCTGTTTCCCTCCATCCCACCGAGCAGCCCAGCAGCGAGTGACCTGTCCCGATCCTTTCTCCCCTTTGCCTCTGGCAGGAGATGGGCTGGTGATGAAGATCAAGCAGGAGAAGTCGGAGTGGCTGCTGCAGACACAGGTGCCGCAGGCCGTGCTCTCGGTGAGAGATAAAGAGAACATTTTCCAGCAGCGCCGGGGCCTCCCGCCATGCCAGACCATAGGGCGGCCTCGAGCCTTGGCAGCACAGGAGGACACCGGGGGTCCAAGGTGGGCCCCTCCCACTGAGCAGGATGGGGGACTGGCTGGCCGGGCTCCCGGGGCAGTCCCCGGCCCCCTGAGTCCTGCGTTTTCGGCCGGCGAGGGCCACTTTGCGTGTCTGGACTGCGGGAAGAGGTTCAGCTGGTGGTCGTCCCTGAAGATCCACCAGCGCACCCACACTGGGGAGAAGCCATACCTCTGCGGCAAGTGCGGCAAGAGCTTCAGCCAGAAGCCGAACCTGGCGCGCCACCAGCGGCACCACACTGGCGAGCGGCCCTTCTGCTGCCCCGAGTGCGCGAGGCGCTTCAGCCAGAAGCAGCACCTGCTCAAGCACCAGAGGACCCACGCCCGGCCCGCCACCCACTCGTGCCCAGAGTGCGAGCGCTGCTTCCGCCACCAGGTGGGCCTCCGCATCCACCAGCGCGCGCACGCCCGGGACCG